TAAACCATTCCCAGATCCCCTTGAACACACACAAAAAATTTCATCAAAATCGGTCCAGTCGTTTGAGAGAAGTTCAGTGACATACACACTCACAGAAGAATTATATATATAAAGATAACACTAGTTTACACACGCAAGTTTCCTCTCTCACAATGACTTTGCCCCTTCACTCTGCATCAATAATAGGGTTACATAACGCGTAACAAGCCTAAACCTGATTAGTTTGGTTAGATAACATCAAAGCGCCCAACTTGGTGTCAACAGAACTCTGTCCATCCGCCGGATTATTTCGCTACTTCCCAACCACAGTGACACTAGATTGAGACCTTTTTGAAGACAAAGAATAGAGAAGTGGAGAAGAGTTGTCTAAAAGCTTGTTAGTGATAGTATAAAGTAATACCTACTAGATTAGAACAGGACAATTGATATTAAGCACGTACAAAGCAAGGAACTCTCAAAAAAAAATCCTTTATGTAAACTAGAAGTATTTAAATCCTTCATTCACTTTGTGATTAAAAATTAAAAATTTTAGGGCTATTACTAACGATGAATAAGTATATATTTTTTAATGAGAACAATGAAGTTAAAAATAAATTAAAAATAAGGAATATTTGCTTATCTACGGTACTTAAATATTATGTCAGTTATATGGTATAACACTTTATACTTTGCTTTAAAGAAAAAAAAAACATAAAAGTTATGACGAATATCTTTTCAAGATCTTATTTAGCAAGTTCAGGTTTAGTGTACTAGACATCTAAACTTTAATGAGTTATGGTCGACATTCGTCCACTAAACAAACTTTCATTAAAATAAATATTCTTGTTAGCCGCTCCAGCTGCCCTAAATGCTCCTGGTAGGAGAGTATGACGTCGGGAGGTCAGTCAATGGTGAAACTGCGGAAACTACTTGTTCGCTAGTTCGATATCTTAACCATTACGCTACCGCCGGCGCTTCGACTCTATAGAGCGCTTTAATGCGCTTATCAGGGTCTAAAATATATCTAAGTTAACATTATGAAAAGAAATGCATTTTTTTTAATTTATTGAAATCGCCTTGCGATTGGGATCTGTAAATCGTAGCTTTCTACTTATTGGTACTCGCAGTACGTACCTACGTAGGTGCAGTATTCGTATTAAGCTAGACTAGTAGATGATGTCCTGCTGACCTAGATGTTCGCTCTCCGTACGAAATGTCAAATGTTACTGTTTCGACGTGTCACCAACTTTATTGTCGAGGAAATGTTGTTGCCTAGTGTATTGCTCTAGGTTAAAGATACTTAGTAGTCTCTACTGTGCAGGGGTGTTATTTTAAAATAAACGACTACTGGTCACAGAGTAATAAATTCTTCTTTTAGGTAATTTTAAGCTTAGTAGGAAAGGAAAGGCTTAATAAATCTGAAAAGAGTTACTAGATGGGCTTTCGGTTCGATTTTATCTATACTAATAATATAAAGCTGAAGAGTTTGTTTGTTTGTTTGTTTAAACGCGCTTATCTCAATGTAATATATAATAACACAGGTCGCAAATTACTATTTACTTACAATGTAAGGGCTGTTGAAGGGATACTGATTGTTGTTAATGCTTGGTATGTCGAAGATTAGAAAAGATTGGTATTAACGTTTGTAACCTTTGTATGTATTTATTATTTATGTGGATATATGTATGTATTAGTATGTATATTGTGAGCGTATTTAGTATGTTTATTTATATATATTTTAATACTATAAAGTACACCACAGACTATCCTAAATCATATTTGGCAATATCCGTATAAAGGTTGTCTGTAAGAGATCGCCGTGTGCGATAAGACCGCCTATTGTAATACCACATGTAGATGTCCATCCATGTCTGTACAATATATACTGTAGCGGTGTACAATAAAGATGTATAAATAAATAAAAAAAATAATAATAATATCTATATTCTGATTGAAAAAATCCTTTAGTTTCGGATAGCTCATTTATAGAGGAAGCTGTAGGCTATATAACATCAGGTTTCTACCAACAGGAGCCGAGCATCCATGAAAAAAGTTGCAAAAACGGGGAACGTTAAAAAATTGTCGGGACAGGTAGTATGATACAAAATGTTGTTTTAGTGTAAGACTTGTGTAAACAACATTTTGTTGTGAACCGAATTGGTGAATCTGAACCATTTTCGAATCCACTTGAACACCCAAAAACACATCAAAATCGGTCCAGCTGTTCAGGAGAAGTTTAGTCACATATGTACTCACGCCCAGAAGAATGATTGAATGTAAAGATGTCATCATAATAGCGTCTACAAAATTTGTGTAATGAATATAACAGGAAATTTAAGAAATAAATTTTACTTCACACATTTCCTTCTAAACATTTCGTAAACATCATTCGGTGATGCCCTAAATAGATCCCTGTCCATAAACGCATTGAGTATTGATACTGCGTCATTCGCCCCTGTTTCGGTAAAAATATGAAACGAATTATTCGCCAGTACTAAATCAGATGTGTTATGTATTACCTAGAACTGTATTGCAGCAAGAAGTGCACTTTCCTCTGATAACAGTCGGAGTGCAGTAGGACTCTTGTACCTACTCTTTTCGCCGTATCATAGAAACGCAATGATAATCTATGCAAACAAATACTTTTAAATATTTTTTTATATATTTTTGCACAGTCATTCTAAACAATTTAAAATTGGAATAAATCAAATCATGAAGTCCTTCATTCCATGAATAGAATTCTATGTTTTTTTTTTCTTTGTTTTTGATATAAAATGTATACGTTATGATGTCGTATGCTTATTATCTCGCGGACTTTAGTACTAGCTGTTTGTTCACTTAATGAATGGACTTACTATGTTTGTACTAAATCTATCAGATGTGAGGCTCTTTAATGTGTCAGTAATGAAAAACTTAGTTTTTACCTGCGTACCAACAAATAATTTCTTATTGAATGATAATATGGTAACTTACACTACATTTAGTCGACTGTATTCATATTTAGTACTCGTAGACTCGATACCAATACTCGATAATGAGAACGTGTATTAGTACTAAGATAATATTTTTACATTCACTCGTTCGTTCTTGAGAGATTATAAAAACAGCAATGCGGGTTGGAAGTGGATATTCGTTTTTGAAGAGACACTTGTGTTGTAACCGTTGTACTGGGTGGATTAAATCTTTAAAAAGTTACACAATCTCTTATTATTTAAGTGAATCTGACCTGACATCTTCAAGTATAACCATCGCGGTATCGCAGCTAGCATAATGTTACTTGCTGATAATGTAGCTTTCCATTTTTGAAGGAATTTATAAAATCGATTTAGTGGTTTAGGCATGAAAGCGTAGCAAACAAACAAACTTACTTTCACATTTATGATTAAGTATGAAAGTATGGATTTCATATAACTTCTTGCTGTATTAGTAGTATCTACGTAACACTTTCAGGCGCAAAAATAAATTTGTTTACAAGATGCGCTACTAGGTGTAGCCTGAAATAACATAGCTTTGATCAATTAATAATCTTAGTGCAAAAATAAATAATCAATTAAAAATCTTATTTTTTTAAGTATCTGAAAATTAGTCGGCGTACTTGTCGTCTGTAAGTGCAGACGCTGCCGTAAATCAAAATAATCTTGATTATCTGTAATTAAACTGATTACGTATTCAACCTTATTAGCAAATTTAGTTCTACACTACGATTATAGTTTTCCTTCAAACCCTGTGCCTATCACATTTATCTATGTAAAATTTGATAATATGTCAAGTCTTGTCATTTCAGCGCGTTGAGACCGGGTTAGATTGACTGGTAGTAACACGCGGTTAGACCTAAAAGGCGTCAGCCCTTATATACTAACAGGTATATAGCTGCTATGTACTACGGCTGAACGTCGAGACGCGGTCTAGTTCCGTGAGCTTATCGATATCGATATATTGATTTGAGGTTAGCCTAAGATTGCTGTATTAAAGTTTTTTTTTTGCACAAAATGAACAATTGCCTTAATCCCATAGGCATTCTCTACCGTCAACCGTTATTTTGTCTGTCTCTCGGGATAGTGCAGTTTTTTTCTGAGAAAAGGTATCCCATGTCCTTTTGTGTCTCCTCGCAACGTGGTCGCAATATTCACGATGATGGAATAACAAGTTAAGACAGCGTGACAATCGAATATGAGTTGACAGTAACTAGTATTTTTAGACTATACAAACACGCACTTTACTTATTTATGCATATGCATTAATTTACAACAAGTTGCCCAAATATGTGCAATCTGCTGATACTATACAGATATTTAAAAGTAGATTAAAAGAATTCCTATTAAATAAAGCTTACTATTCTATTCAAGATTTTTTTAGCCTTTTTTAACAATTTTAATCTTTGTTTGTGAGAAATAATTTATTTTTCTGACTCTCTTTCTCTATTAAAATATTTTGATAATTTAACTGTATTCAATTTAATTAATTTATAACATTTCTGTATGCACCTATAATTATTTGTACACAGCATAATGTGGTAGGACACCAACCTATGTTACCGCAAATAAACAAATAAATAAATATTGTAAAGTGTCGCATTGCAAAGTGACTAAAATAAGTGGCCCACTTTGTTATGCTGATGTGTGGGCAAAGCTATGTTGGTGTGCGTGCAAATCGAGCGTGACAGTGACAGCATGACTGACAAAACAACGATAGCGGCAAGGAGCTTAGGTACAGGCCAGCAGCTGGAGATTTTTTTTTACACTTTCGCAGCCTCGACATTTTATCTCGACATATATCCATGATCTAAGCATAGGTATTTAATTCAAAAAGTTAATGTAACTAGATACAAGTTGGTACTTCATATGGTCCTAAGCTTTAGAAAATTATTGAAATCATTTATAACAATACGTGCTACAACTTAAAGAATGATATTTTAATCAACTATTTACTAAACAATTATTACTTAGGTTACAACTGCTTAAAAAAAAATTTGAGTAGTATATTTAACCACTTGACTAAAATATAATATTTATCGACATTTCTCATGTAATTTTGTTATGCCTACCGTGTCCCATCACTAAGGGCCAGCGTCGGCGAGTGTGCGCGTCGATAAATTCCGAGCGCGTTGTCAATCGGCCGCGGCAGCGCTCAGGAATTAACGGCACTGCGCTGTCAAGGCGCCCGCGTCTCCCTACTACCCCCGCCGATACAGGGCTGTGCTGAAAACATTCAAATAAAATATGTACAGAAGTAGTATATGTTATCTTGAAGTACAAACGATTATAAATGTGTACTCATCAAATAAAAATATGAAGGACAAAATCTTTAAAAATAATGTATCACCGACTTAATGCATCTACGTTTATTCATTTCGTAATTTTCCACCCTCACAGATGGTGCTTTTCCTTAAAATTTGAATGATTAAACGGGAGTTAGAATTTGAAATGCTTAAAATAATATATACTACCGTCTTTAATTGCTCTGAATGTGCGCATTTTTTCTTAAAATATAGTATGTTTAGAAAGTAAAGTCTGCTTTACTAGAATCAAAGAATAATCAGTATTATTTCAAATAAAACACTTAGTTTTAATTCAAAATCAAAACTAAAATTTAGAGTCGAGACATTATTAGAAGCATAAAAAATTTAACAGCTATGTACATCTACTTAGTGGTCAGATATAAAGATAAAAATATGTCAGAATGTACATTCAAGTTGATTGTTCGCTACAATAGGCAATAAATGTATTTCAATTGAAATGATTAAATACGTAATGCCCAAATACTGTAATCAATTAACCTCGAGGTCACAGCCGTGCGCGTCTTCTGTCTCAAGCACGCGTGGAGATTAACGATATTTCGGCGTCTGGTCGGCAAACAGGCATTCGGCCTATAATGAATAAGTCTTAGTACCGCACTGACAAGATTAAATAACCTTTTTAAATCACCTTTTTGCTGTCGTGCTTTTATTCGATCTTGTTTTTGTGTAGAATATTTATTGGAATTCGGGAAAAATGTTCTCTGGTGAGGATGTTTGTCTATATTTACGTTGTTATAAAATTTAACGTACACTGACCTTATGACAATGCCCCTTTTTCCATTTTTAACAACAGTATTTAGTCTATGTTTTAATAATAGTCTATAGGAGTATATGTACATAGTTTATCTATTAATCTCTTGAATATTTTCGGTAGATTTTTTCCGATCGGACAAAACATTAAGACGCAAGATTTATGGATCTAGTTGGTTCTAGACCTTAAAATTAGATTGTTCGTATTATACTAATAATGAAAATAGAGGATCTCATTGTTACCTAAAATGGTCATTACTTTAAACTTCATAAAAAAACCTATGTATTTTTAGAAGAGGTATAAAAATCCAGAGAGGAATGATCTTTCTATACAAAATCCAAAAATCTTACTATTGGTGAGCGCCTTTTGTATGTAATGTACAATTTGTAAATAATTTAGTCCATCCATCCACTGTATAAAGCTCCGTACCGCGTTCACCATTTCTAAGTAAAGCGTTGATTGACTAATTCCTAATTAACGTTAATTGCGAAGTAAAAGTTAGGAGTAATTTCTATCACTTTCACCAACGAAAATAAAGCTTCGAGTAAAAACTTACTACTTACATGAATGATTGAACAAAACATACGTTTTAATCGTTCTGGTTTACGTTAAATGTTATGCGTCGAATGTAATGTCGATTGGCAGTGGTTATTTTTGTGTATAAAATTTGGGGTATGATATAATTCAATATCATTTGTTCCTCTAATTGTAGTGTGTAAATTAACATGGATTATTATTATCTTTATCTATCTTCGATTATTTTTGAAACACTAAATTTTTATTCCACGCAAGACCTGAATCTTAGCATTATTGCATGGATATTTAGGTTACTTTAAAAAATAGAGCAGTGTTTAAAGCTCTTATAACAATCCTTATTAAAAGAAAAACTTAACATATTCGGGGTATCGTACCTAACTCGAAGTTAAATAAATTAAAACTAAAATAATTATAAAATTTACTTCGTGACAGCCCTGGTAGAATTGCGCGTGTACTAGTCATGTGAGTTACCTCGGGTAGATGCGGGCTCTGGACGACTGAACGACCGCCCGCTTTCACCCGAGCCCAGCTCACACTCCACCGACTCGTACCCATGATGATGAGCTGTAAAAATATACGCTAGGATACGGGTGAGTTCACGTTATTTGCGGACGAAAACGTACAATCCAACGATCCAAAGCTTTAAATATACGTGTGTAAATTATGAATATCTAAATTATGCAACACTTTTCTCATATAAATGTGGCATAGGAAAGACAGATTTTTGGTTTTTTACATCTGTCCTATTGCTTTCCTGCAATCTTTGAGAGTAATTTCGGGAACGGGACGGTAGGACGTAACACGACCCGGGAAAGCGCATGCTATTTTATTTGACCGATACGATTGCATACGGTACCTACTAGAGTTGGCGGTCAGATGGTAGGAGACGTTAGATGTTACGTAATTTGCAACGGTTCTGGGTTCACATCAAAATCCCTTAACAGTCCACTGCTAGACATAGGCCTCTGTAGGAGATTTTGGCCTAATATACCTCACTGGCCAGACGGGTTGGTATAGGGTTTGTTTCAGGTTTTCCTTTTCTTTGTAGTGCCGTTGTCCTGCGGAGTTTGTTCCCTTAGTCTTCTATGGCATCCACGGGACGTACTTCGTATTCTTAATCCGTCTCCACACGGACAACGGGCTTAGCCGTCTCTGAAAACACTAGAAATAGTTGTAAAACCGCATATTTCTAATTTTCTAATTTATACTCTTTCTAATACAATTTTAAAGTTAAATGTCCAATCCTAAAATTAAACCAATTTGCAGTCTGTTTCTTTTTGTAATAATAGTCCGAAATGCAGCCTAATCAAAAAGTTAGAAGCCAGAAGAGCTCACAGTTATTTTTTACCAATTGAGTCGATATTTCGAAATATACTTTCGAACTTTATTTTAGTACTCTAGATTATATTTATAAATATACATATAAGGATGTTTATCTGCAGTCTGACACAGGCGTGAGAATATTATTATTATTAAATTTCAGCCTAAAATTATTCTTTTCTGTACATGCGTTCATTCATTCTCAATTTAAATAGGTAGTGTTACGTCACTATTAGCCTTTATCGATTCACATCATCGAGGCCAAGCGTCCCTATTAGTGACGTACGTAGGTATTATGAACAGGCTAATTGACTCAATTTGAAAACTTGATTAATTATCTACTTTAATATCTATTTTATCCCAAAAAACATATATTTTAAAGAAAAAGCAATATTTACATTACGTATTTTGTATTTAAAAACAATTTAAATTGCGTTTGAAAACGCTGAATAGTGTCATGGCGTCTTGAATGACGCTGAACAGTGTCAACTGTTTTCAAAAAATGAATAAGGAATAAGGAGTAACCTGCTCTGTTGTATGAAAACGTCAACAACAACAATGATGTTATGCGTGGCGTGACGTAACACTTTCTCATCGGTGTTCGCTGTCACGTGACTTAATGCCTATTTTGTACGATTTTTTTTTAAATATTAATAACTCTTTAACTTTTATGAGAAAAAGACTGTTTTTTTCTCATAGATGTCTCTTCATTTATAATTTAAGACTATAAACCAAGCAATTTGTTATTAGTGGACACAAGCCTATTCTGAGAATTATTTGCATCAAGACAGTGGTGACATCTGTGCGAGCTTTAACTACTTTAGTTATTCTTTAACCATAAAACGGATAGAAATGCTGTTTACTACTTTTTAATACCAGTAATAGATTTTTTTTACAAACAAACGATTTCAACGATATTGCTTGTAAAAAGTGAACTAAAATCTTCATACAGGTACTAAAACCTTTCTTAAAGTACCTATGTAAAATATACATATACAAAAAACATGCATACATATACACACATGTACACCTACATAGATACCTTAATGCAAATCGAATACAGAACCTCTTATTTTTTAAAACAGTAAAAAATGAAAATTGTTCGTTTGTAATTCAGATGGTAGAAATTACCGATTCCTACTAAATGCCGAAAAAGAGACCACATCCGTAGCTAACAAACTATGTACTGGTATTTTTCGCCTTCGTTTGGCTTGGGTAAAAGGCTTTTACTTTCATTGAATGAAAGCCTTTCTAGCTATACGTACCTGTATGTGTGCTAATCCCGGTGGACAATTCAGCCATGCTGTTTTAATAGTAACCACACACAGTTTCTTGTGTTTTTTTTATAACTTTCCATTTGACTGTGGAGATTTAGTGTAGCTGTTACAGTCAAAGTCTCAACTTGTCAAAAGTATTTTTACCGCCAAAATCAGTCAAAAACACTTCTGACGGCAAAACCATACTGTTATAATAACCTCATCTATCCTATATGATCCACTTGCAATATGGGGGATCTGGCGCTTAGCGGCCGCTGCAATGCCGCGTTAATGGTCACTGTTCTAACTTAACCCGACCCAAATGCTTCGATAATAGTACTTAAATGGTATCTAGCGCAACAGTTAAAGTACTATTGCCCAATGCCGGTTGAAAATACTTTTGACCAGTTTAGAGTTCTAACTGTAACATGTCCAAATATTTCATTTTCTCAAAGAACCAACTACTTAGACCTTTCTTGTGTTAGAAAACAAACGAGAAGTCGCACATGTTGTGTAACACCTGACATCTCGCTTACCATCTGGGGCCCTAGTACGAGTTTATGTCACATCTACTCGATCGTCAAGGTGACGGGTTCGGCGTTGCGGTTGGCCCGGACTTCACCAATTGCAACGCGATCGAGAGCAAGTCGATGTGAAATAAACTAACACAAGGCCCTCTGATGGCCTGTACCAGGGACTTCCTTTCTAGGGTATACCTGGTTCCCCGGCTATTAGTACCCGAGACGGCGTGCGGTTTTAGTCGGTTCGAGACCGACATGCCACCGACAGGTGGTATCCGAGGGGATTTCCGCACGGAAAAAAAAAGGCCCTCTGATGGCCACCTCTCTGCTTCTCTCGTTTCTCCGGCTTCCTGCTGCACACTTCGGGTCCTTTTCAAGCAATCGCTCTACAGATTACAAAAAATATATTACACATCGAAAAACGACACGTGTAGATATAAATATATGTATTTACCTGTAAAACAGTAATGAATGTGGGTTTCCTCATGTAGTTGCCTGTTATAACAAAGAGGTTTCCTCTCAAAATATAATAAAGGTAGTAAACACTCGTCATAAATTAAAAATATACTTAAATTTAAAATGTCAAAAAAACCACTTATATGACCAAACTTGCCTAGTTAAGTACGCTGATCAATTGACCAGGTCGCGTCGCAAACTGTATTTAGTACGATCGTTCCAAAGTTAATTACCTGCATATGCCAATAGACTTTATCTGCAATGCGATACAGATTCGCTCAGTGGGAAACTTAATGTCTTTTAAAAGTTCGTAGTATGTGGCAGTTTGCCCAGTATATATAAGTACTGTAATTATTCCGGCACTTTGGACCATCTGAGTCAATGTGACAACATGATGTTAAAATACCAAATTTTGTGACATTTTATTGTCCTGCAAATCTTAATTTGACTAAAGCTTACACTGACTAATTTTACGCATCTTTTTTTCTGGTAGTTCTGGTCTTTATATTTTCATACTTATATGATTGGCAAAGTACAAGTCAAATACAAAAAATAATGTTAGATACCATTTTGTTTTTATGAAGGCATGACAGTGCCAATCGCTTACCCTAATTAAGGAAATGGGTAAGATGGCTATCCAAATCAAGTAGATAGATACAAGGAATGGCTGCCATTTTTGCTTTGGAGAGAAGCCTTCACATTGAATGACAGGAGCACGCGTGACGTTAGTTGCGACATTACGTGACGTTCAAATATGAGTACATTTAAATAAAATGTTTCGTCAACGTGTGTTATAAACGAAAACACCTATTTTATCTTTCCTTCAGCCGGGGAACCAGGTGAAAGGAAATCCCTAGTACCCCGACGTACCTCGGGCCCTCCATGGCGTGTAGATGACCCCCTCCTGTGTGGGAACCCCATGTTCCCTTTGTGCTCCCGAAAGGGCGCTCCGCAGCGCGTCTGGCCGCCACCCGGCCTGCTTCTGCTAGGGCGACAGATGGCCTCACCTGTCACCCCCAGGCCTGCGCTTATGGAGGACCGAGGTCGTTCTGCGACCTCCAGCGCCCGAGTCGTCTGCGGTACCTGGCCCGTCGGGAGAGTTCTAAACCTCTCCCGGTCCCGCTCTGCCGTCTCCTTCGCAAGCTTAACTTGCTCGCAGAAGGAGACGGCGGAGTTCCACGCACTCTCGCTCCGTACTATGGCGGCAATCATACTACCGAGCGCGAGGATTCCCACTCCGACGGCCACCGCAATGTTGGCACCTAGGCGGTGGCTCCTTGCGGATCAGACACAGGTGATCTCCGAAATAACCTTTCCCGGTGATCACCTGTGTCAGCCGGTATGAGAGGGTTCCGTGACGCCTTTCGAGCCAGTCCTCCATTACGGGTCTTACCGCCGCAATAACGGCGTACCCGAAACGAAAACGACTGTACTTTTAAAGAAACTTTCTCTACAAAAACTAGTAGAAAGTATCAGAATCCTATAAAGATTTTCATCTCCAGCGATATCCTCGTCAAAATGCATAATAATTCTAACCTAATCCGGGTATCACATATCACGTAGCAATTGCGGGAAGCATTCGATAGAGTTATCGTTTAAATCGGGTATATAAACGTCAATGATACAGCTCTCACCACAAGTAACGTTTAGTTTATTGATTTTATTTTGGAACAAAGAGACTTCAATGTTCCAGTACTTGCGCTATGAACCCCTTAAAAACTCTATTTATTGCGACAAAAACTTGGTCTTTGTTTTCCGTTTCTTTTCTTTGACGTTACTTTTGAAGTTTCGTAGAGAGCGCTTTCTTGGCTCAGACTCGACGTAGACACAACTTTCGCTTTTACGTCGTGACTAAAATTGTATTTTTAGAGCACATTGATTTTAAAATGTGTAATAGAAAAAAAAAATAACACACGAACACATAAAAAGAACTTAAGATCTTGAATATCTAGTATTGTCTTTTTATATTTATACAAGACCTTACTAATTAAAGACTTTTAGAAAGATTATTATAAATACATGTATATTATTATAATACACGGTATTTTGAGTCAGAAACTAAGATAACATGGTATTTTCTTATAAGCGCCAAAACGCTAATTGCCATCACTTATATTTTTAGTGCGTGTTTCGTTGTCTAATCTTACAAATCTGAAAAGTAATACTGCATTATTTGTTAGAATTCCTAATACTTCTCAATAACATACTTAACAATTAAAAATACAAGTACGAAACAAAAATAAAGGAATAAGAAAACAGCGGCAAACGTAGCGCACACACGGCCTCAGTATTTTCCCGCGCAATGCCCGCCATCGCGCCATGCGCCATGCCGCACGGGAATTAGAGCGCGGGCTCGGTCTGCATCGTAAGTCTTTGTGTGAAAATATAGCTAAGCGCGAATTGAGTTTTGAGGCTCTACTACGAGTTATCTCTTTCTTTATTTATTTATAGTGCGGCATACATACACGGAGAAAACTCACATTTCTAAATAATAAAATAAAAACTTAATTAGTTCCAAAAAAAAAGAAGTTAGTTTTTTTAGAACTGTCTCTATCTTCTTATTTATCTATGTAACAATATATAGTTTCACTTTCATTTCTGTTACTTCAAAATTTGAATATCTACGTATCAAAGGTCGATGACAATTCACTACTAAAAAATAAGAACTTTAGTTAAATAGTAACGTAGAAAATATTTTTTATTGTAAAACGCTTGAGTTTCTTGACATCAAATCTTATAAAATACTCGTATTGTTTATTAGTGAGTATTTAAATAAAATACCCTACAATTATTACAATTAAGCTTCAATTTTTCTTTTTTATTGGTTTAGGAATATTTTTTTAGAAAATTCTTTTTACGTTAATATGAGCGCGCTTAAAACATACCTACCATACAAACATTTCTAGATTGAATATGTAAGTGAAATATTGGTTTATTACAACTAACTAATACTCCGCAGTCCTTACATAAATGGTTTAATTTAAATTAATATTGAAACCTTATGATTTAATTAATTTGCCCGATAGCTTCAACCATCACACTTGCAATCTATTTGAAAACTATACGTAGCTAAATTTCATGTTAGGTACAGATATTGCGTCTGGCTAAATTTATAACTACCTATCATATTATTGGCAATTGATACTCCTTTATATCGGTTATTGAAATAAGATGATTATAAGTACAAAACTTTTTTTATACATAAGTCACATACCAGCAAAGACTTAGCATAAAGTTTTCCACTTTTCTTTTTCACAAGTTTATATTTGTTCCAGATAAGACTACAGTTACTAGTTAATAAAACATTTACTTCTATGCATTATGTTGTATGCTTTAAACAAATATTAAATTATTATTATTTAATACTAACAAGTCAGCAGATCTGTGAAGTGAAGAATCTGGGCATACTTTAATTTCTTTCTTTTATTATTAGGAATATATTCTAAATTGATATTTCACATAATGACAGCGATTTTTCTATTTTTAATAGTTTCTAATGAATTTTGACTGGGGCACTCCAACGCTGAAGAACAGCCTTTAACCGATTTTCTCTCGCGAAGGCTCTGAATGTCTAAACTAACTCCCTTTTCACAAATTTTAGAAAAGAAAGATGTAAAACGTATTTACTGAACCCGACGGATTTTACTAAATCAAAACGGGTTCATTTATAAAACAAAAGGTAACAATTTCTGTTTTAATAAAACCAAAATCTCTCAAACATCACCGAAATAAACGTATCAACCTTATTAATTATTCATTGCGATTTGTATTCAACTATCTCTATACACAATTAGGCACAAAGCTTTTCCCTTATTTCTGAACGTGTGCTTTGCTTGCGATAGAGGGGAATGAGCGGGGCGCAGGAGGGGGGTCGCGTAGCCATTAGCACGACGGCGTCGTCGGCGACCGTTCGCGAACAATTTTACATTTACTATTGTTTTGACTCTTACGCGAACTGCGTAAGGTTTATATTTATTGTTTCGGATTAACGTTAGATGTTTGTCTAGGCGTGCATAATTTACGCGCGGCCGATAGACGGTCGCGATTGTTATTACGCGTGCGGATATTGGATTTGGCGTGAACGCAGCGTGCCGGTGGCGTTCTGTCGCAAGATAATGCCGGGGGCCACGCTTCGGTGGCACAGCAAGTACTTTACCATCGACCCAGTTTCGTACTGCCACTCTGCCAGCCAAATGGCTGATATCATTACTGATTATTTTTATAACAAAAGGCCTGACTGTATTCATGGTTAACCTAAAGCCACTTAAAACCTTCAAGAAACTTCTACATATCTATGTATATTTAATAGGTACTTAAATTGCTGTTAACACGATAAAATTGTTCCTATTTACTATACACAATGCTTACTTAAACTACATATATATATTCTTAAAGCTTTTTTTTTAAATGGCCATCTATTTAAAATAAAAGCTTTAAAAATATTTTTGCGCTAAACGTTTTTTGCCGATGCACCATGCACTTTCATTGACTACTTATTTATCGACAGCGGCTATTGATTAATGACAGCTGTTAATGAAAAGTATCTATTATCACATGCCGCATTCCTTTGTTCCATTTAATTACGTAAACCTGCATTTTCTTTGTTATATATTCATAAGCTTAAAATGTCGGCCAATTGAAAAAAAAAGTTTCCCATGCCTTTGGAAATTATCTATCCCTCTCTAAAACTATACTTTTAACAAACTTTTCAAAGCAGCATTCTAAATACAAAACTTCTAGTCATCGTTACTTGAATTGTGAACATCCAATCAATCAGTCAAATAACAATTTCAGAGCAGCGCTATCCTTGCGGGGGTCTATAAAAGGCACACTATTGTATTTGCGAGCGGGCTCGAGGGCTACCTAAGCGGGCATTAGCGAAGGACGCGTAGGTTACACAGTCCGTCCAATATAAACAGACCTCTGATCTCACATTTGCAACCTCAGCCACAAACGTTCTAATAGGGTTCTGCATAAATTGGACAAGCTACGTAATTTACGCGCGAGCGGTCACCGGCGTGGTGATTACACTCGCTTGTTGGCGTGTTGGTCGAACCTGATAATCCAGCCGTTTTGTAAAATCTTGCATGAATGTTCTGCAATGGATTACGAGGGGACGTCGCGATTTGGTAGTATTAGCAAACATTTGAAATGTTTGGTCCAACCTCGTGGGTAAGTCATTAAGGTGGCGTGTGCATGTCGGGACGTTGACTACCGCCGGAGGGTGGAGACTGTTCGTGCTAGCCGTCGACGGGTGCGTTAACTTAATTATATGACTAGCGGTTGCCCTATGGCAATTCGCGCTCACATATATTATCTAATACGAGAATATACGAGTGCTTTCTTAGAAAAACTACTTTACTAAATTTACGCTACTTCTGTTTTATTATAAATTACCTATTTTATTTTAATTTAAGAAGTCAGTTCGTGTTCGTTTAATATTCAGTCTTTTATTATTCGTTTTGTCATAGGTACGTCATTCAAACTCAGGCACCAGAACATCAGCAGTCTGAAATTCAGTATGGTACGTGTAGGAAAACTATTGTAAAGAAATAAATATATGATCCAATTTTAAATTCAGAATATTAACACTACTGAAATAATAAGACAGTTAAATATGGAAATTGTGATCAGTGGGCCCACTGATCTTAATTTTCACACGATTCAGATCAATAGGCTTAGCTCTATATTGCCGTCTATACAAACAAAGACGTCTTAAACAATTATTCAAAGCACAGTGTCGAGACGAAATACTCCTACCTTTACCTGGTAGAGAGGAAATGATGATAATCTTATCACTCATTTCACTACGGCAGACTGGTAGAAAATGTCTATAATATTAAGTCCGTCCATTGAACATTTTGTGCATAAAGTTTTAATAAATACCTAAATACATTTTTGCAAAATTCAAAACTCGGATTAAAGTGATCATAATACAAACACACATTTTTGTTCTCGCGTTTTTCTCGAACTTATTTTGATACTATGCTATATACGATATATATCGATATTATGTAGATTACATAATTTATTTGTCATTACGATGACAATAATGAAAACAGTATTACATACTAATATTGACAAGTCTTAACAAAACTAATTGTTCGTTGTTATCAGTATATGATCGGTATGAACTGAAATATTACAAAAAGTACATAAACTGAAAGCTTCGAGCATTGTAGCTGCCGCTTATTTACTACATAAACTGGTAAATGGCTTGAGTCAGGTGGCACATCGCGTGTGCGACCGACGGGGGACCGAAGGAGCGCGGCCTGGAAATCCACCCCCTATTCGCCTCGACAACCTTTAGAGAAACGTGCAGGGACTTTTGGGTCGCGAGACCCGCGAAATTCCATTTAAAGATGTCGGGATAATTTAGCGCTGACGAGGCGGAGGCCAAATTGACGCGCCCCCGGGGCCACCGTGTCGTCGAGCTGTGTATCGATCACGCTTTTTACAGGGATCACCTCGAGGGATGGCCCGAGTGCACGTAAACAACCCTCATCCATTTTCTCGAATGTAGCGACTGTCGAAAGATCTTGGCTTGCAAAAATTTTCTCTCCGTTTCTAACCCCATGTTTGTGTGCCATTTAGTGCCGCCCTTTTGTGCTAAAAGGAAAGCTTAATAAATATTTGGCTAAAGCTAGCTGCGTGAAAAAGCTCTCTTTAATGAAATGTTATAAAACTTTATTATTTTATTGACAAACACTTTGTATTTTCATACTAAATGCAACTTGCAACTGATAAGAATTAAAAACAGCTACCTTTAAATAGTTTTAAATTTTCTTTTGTCAAATGTGACATGTGTCATTATTATTCTCAATATCGAAGTTTCATTTAAATAACGCGTTTTTACATATGTGCTAAGATGAACAAAGCTTCAGTCATACTAATCACTGCATATATTGGGCACATCATTATTCTCTCGAGCCGGCAACAAACTTACCCTAAGGAAATTGTATTTATTTGTAATTTTCCTTTGCTAAAATGCTTTACAGCTTAAAATAATACGAGATTTATACAAAAAAATGAAAAAAAAAGAGTTTCCTTAAATTTATATTATGTGATCATCACCAATTGTTTCTGTACAAAATATAACTTTAGTGATGTTTAAAAAAAGCAATAAAACATTTACTTCAGATTTGTAGGCTTTCGTTGCCTTTATATCAAACATGTAGAAGATACACTTCGCTGACGCTACTAAAATAAATATTTACGAATCACATACTAATCTTTAGTTGGTTTTTACTTTTAATTCATTCCAAAAAAAAAAAATTATAAGTTAAATAAAATTATCGTAGTGAGAAGGACGAGGGGTATTGTTATATTCAGAAGTTTGCTAGGATTATATATCGCCATGCCCGCAAACTTAAACTAAACTGAATGAATCACCTGTGAATAAACTCCTGAGGGCCAATTTTTGTAATAAAAGTTCGGTCACAATTCAGTTCCGATCAACTTTCGATCTCACAACCGTCATAAAAGGTAAAATACCTTTCTTTCTACTCGTAGTAAAATAAAAAGTAAAAGGCACAAAGAACACCCAGACTCAGAACAACAATTTGTTGATCACACAAAGTGTTGTCCCATGTGGGGTTTGAACCCACAACACTCGACGTAGTAGAAAGCGGCGGTGGCGACCGCTTAAACCACTACGCCATCCGTGCATACTTATTCGTATATATTTCTTAATACATACATGTTATAGATAGATTACACTCAGACACAGAATAAATGATCGTGCTTATCACACAATTATTTGTCTTGGGTGGGAATTGAACCCATGACCTTACGCTTAGCAGTCAGTATCACTAATCACTACACCAGGCCCATTAGATTGTCAGATAAGAGAAATTTACCGCTGATGTCATGTTTGTTCTGCTCGCAATGTTATCCATACTAATATTATCCACACCAGAGGACGTTCCGAGAGCAATGAAAATGACAACTAGTTTATTTCGTCATGTCCACGTGGAGGCATGATTAACCGTTAATTGGGAGGGTCGGCGAGAGCCCTTTGCGTTATAAATACGTGTGTAGATACGCTTTGTAGATGTACGTAGAGTTTTTACGAGGCAATCTTACTCGCGCTGTGCGTGCCTGGTCTTTTTTACATTGCCGTAGGCGACCGACGAGACGCAAAGAGTATTTAACAGACTCGTGTCTTCATTTAAAATTTTGCTATTTTTGGAAGTGAAAACAAAAGAATGTAATTTTTGAGATGAGAAAAACCATTGGACTCGCGACACTGTTAGTGTTATTGACACCTCTGAATATAAGTATCTACATATATTGGCCCCGTGTACACGAGAGTTGAATTTGGGTTGAAAAACTTTAATAATATAACTATTATATAATATTAACAGATATTGTGTATAGACGTACTCATGTCGGTCATTCGAGTCGAAAAACACTTTTTTTCTGTTATAATCAAAAATCAAGTTTACACTTCTGCCGGCACTCCCGGAGTGCCACTGTTTTTTTTATTCTATCGAAATCTGTTGTCAAATTTGGCGGGAGGCTGGGTATTGCGCATGCCATTCTAATGGTGGATGTATGAAACGCAATTGTAATTATCATGAAGGGCCGTGCTGCGGCGCGTATGGTCCGGTTTCAAAGGAATGATACCCCGACTTGGCAGAAAGCGGTGTCTAGTAATTCTTTTGTTGCGTTTCACGGAATAAATAAGGTTATCGAAAGACCAACACCCCCCCCCCCCCTCCCCAGTTCTAGAGAGCGGTTAGCACTTGTGCCATTAAAAATATACAAAAATAACACACATCACATTAACAGCCTTGCATAGTCCACTGCTGGACATAGGCCTCTCCCTAGAAAGGAGGGTTTGACCTACCACGCTGACCAGATGGGGTGGTATGGGTTTGTTTCAAGTTTTCCTTCACTTTGCAGTGCTGTTGTCCTGCGTAGTTTGTTGCGTCCCTTAGTCGGCTCTTTTGACACCCACGGGATGAATAGGGTTGACACTCATCTTATTCCGTCAGTACACGGACGGAAAAATAATAATCTATACTATAAATAATCTAACCTCCGCAAAACGAGCTACGGTGGTTAGATTACTAAATGTGTTTTATTGTTTTTGAGGGCGCGAACATAACTAAGATGGCGCCGTAATGGCGACAGTTCTAGGTTTAAAAGAAACATGCTTATTCTTTAAATCACTATCCAAATAGATACTTACGATCCACGCCAAAAAGGTCGTTTACTAGTTTTGCATTTGCATGAAGCATTT